GAGAGAGAGAGAGAGAGAGAGAGAGAGAGAGAGAGAGAGAGAGACAGAACAAATCCTAGATAACATGGTGCGCCCGCATTTCCAATTGCCTCTGCAGAAAGTCGATCGCCGGTCTATCTCTCTCCCCCGCGTGCCTTGTGGCGTACAGCAACAGAGAGGTAAAATATCGCAGACGACTTCGTCGATGTCATTGATTCAAGCCCAGCGCCACGGGGCCGTGAGACAGCAGCCCAAATAAAAAAGCAAACAAACCATGCGGACATCATCTAGGGGAGACCAGGCTTGCTCCAGGCTAGGCTAGGCGTGGCTTGGCTACATTTAGCACCTTGGCGACCTCAGCGGAGCCTAGCTGCATCACGGCCCCCTTCCCGTAGGCCATCTCCACCTGCTTTAGCGCCATGGAAAGCGCCAGCTGCTTCTTGGGCGCCGCGTCTGAGTCCTCACCTTTAGGAAAGAAAATAAGCCGGGTTTTGAGGTTAGGGAGGGCGAGGGGGCGGCGGTGGGTGGGGGCGCCCGCGGTGGTAGACCTTTCCGCTGTGTGGGTGGTACCTGCGTCCTTGTGGTGGCCTCTTACGGCAGCGGGTTTGAACTCTGTGTGTGCCGTTGTCATGTTTCGGGGAATGTCAGCGGTACAGTGGTAGGGGAGGGGGGCCTTCAGCAGTCAGAGTGAAGCAGTGCATGGTGCCTGCTATTGAGCCCGCGAAATGGCGCCCCACAGATGGAATCATCCAGGTTGCTCTACACTGCTACTTGAAAAGTACCAGGTGCTTGCTGAGGTGCTGGTGACGTTGGAATTTAGTGAATAACCATATCGTCATCGACGGCAACTGCTGTATCACTCAATGCATGGTGGCCTTGATCACTACTTGTCCTTGTGAATCTTCCTGCTGCAAATGGCACGGCGTACGACTGTACACCGCTGTTGCCAGGCAGAGCGCTCCGTGGGGGAGCCCACAACTAGTGCTGTAGGCGAAAACCACGAACGGCGCGGCGGCTGCGGAGCTTACCAACCCCACGGCCCTTGCTAGACCTCGCCCCTTTCTTCGCTCTGGCCGCGAAACATCGCCGAGCGGCAGCGGTAGTTGCTGAGCTCGACAAGCCCGTGCGTTCGCTTCCCGCCACGGATATCGCTCGAATGGCTTGATTCATTGGGGTCGCGAGCACGCGGAGGACGCCCAGGCGCCTGCTTTTCCACGAATTGTGCACAGCAGTTTGGAGGTCAGGCGGGTGTGTTGTTGCCCAGTCAGAAGGAGTCGTGAAGGGGTATTGCGAGGTAATACTGCAGGAGCTGCGACGCTTTCCATGAGATGGCGGGTCTTGCCTGCGCGCGATACTGCTGCGGCTAAGAATGGTGCATTTTGTCCTCTTAGAACCCAAAAATTAACTTTATCTCACAAAAAAACACGTGTGTACAAAATCTATACGCAAACCGTTTCCTGAAAGGTGTGGTGAAACGAAACTGTTAACCCTCCCGCCAAAAAAAAGTGTGGCCTTCCTTGGCAAGGATTTGGTATTATTATGTAACATGTTGGATTAAGCATACAATCGGGGAAGTTGGGGTAGGGTCACGGTTAGGGAATAGGTCTGCGTTCCCCTTCCTTGTTCTATGCATATTTTCTCATAAATTTAGTACATTTGAATACTGATCGGCGAAGGCTGTCCCAAAAAGAGCGGGTGTGGTAAGGCGGTGGACGATAAAAACATAAAACTCCGCGCTTGCCCCCGCAGAAGGGTTTCTTTCCGTCACGCAACGCCGTGAAAAAAGCAAGTCCGGGAAGGAGCTGCTCAGATAGCCCACAAGAAGTTGGTCGCTGTACCAGCGTGTGGCAGAAATGTACATGGTATTCTCTCTGTTGTCTGGCCATCCTGCATGCACAAGCTACCGCTGCTCTAGACTCGACGATGACGCCTCTGCTGTTTGCGAGTCGGAGTACTGCTGTACGGCATAGACTACATGGATACACGTGCAGAAAAATGGCAACACCAGTCAGCCTGCAGTAGTAGTGACCAACAAAAAACACCGAGATATAGACCAGTGATTGCCCTTCTACGATCGATAAGGCTGACTGCTCTGTAACACCTCCACGTTGGGACCTGGTTGTAAATAGTTTTGCTGTTGAGCGGCAGCAGCGCTCAGCAGTGTGTTCAACTGCAAGCAACACACGTTTTTGAATTTACAAACATACAGCATTAATTAATCATCACCTCATGTGGCCTCTTGAGGCCATTTGAGCCCGCGAGAACATCCGCGAGGACAAAGCCCCTATAGGAGTCAGCAAAAACAACTCCGGCTGTTGTAGAGTGGAAGCAATGGACCCGCTAACGTGCCCGTGTAGTGGTGGCGAACTTGAGCGGAGCGAACAAGGGGGGTCCACAGCTAGGATCTGCAGGGTTTCATCTCAGGTTCGTTGGCACCTTGTTCTGCGGGAAAAGGGGACACCCGGTCTTGTTGTGTCGCGCCGTGTTTCGGGTGTGACCTGTGTGAATGCATGTTATGCCTCGCGTCAACGTGAGAGCTTTGTGCGTTGTTTCTTCATGGGTCTGCTCAGGATATGATTGTTGTGCTAGACTGCTGCGTTCATGTAGATGCCGTTGTGGTGGATCGCGTTCTGAGTTTGCGTTGGTTGGTAGTTGCAGTCTGCATTGCAGAGGTGGAGCCTTGTACGCTTAAATCAAACATCTGCGCGGCAGCAGTAGGTTAGAGAAACGTTGAGAGACGCACATGATGCAGTGCGGTCGCGTCACTGTCGAATATCGAAAACAATATTCCTGCGCAGCAGTCCTGTGGCACCACACGGCATCACCGGACGGAAATGGGCGTCTGTTTGCGGAGAGAAGGATTGGCGATTCCACCCATCGATAAAGCATCGCGTTGTTCATGACTATCCTTTCGACCTTCATCGCGGTTGTGAACGTGGACATAACACGAACGGAGAGGAGTACCGCCAAGCAACCGTTGTCCGCTCCGCGGCACAGGCCCGCCGAGCAAAAATTCACAACTGGAATCACCAATGAATGCCAACACCTATTTGAAAGCATCATCAGCTCAAGCAAGAGAAACCAAGCTGGACAACAAAACGCGACGGATAAATCGAAAAGAACACAATGCATCAAGCGCGTCGAGTTCAGCAACGCAGCGCAGACGCTCGCTGTAGCGCATGTAGCGGAGGATGGACTCAACCAACCCCCACCTAACCCCATACGATGACACAATCCGGACCAAAATGATACCCCGGTTGCATGTCAGCAAACAGAGAAGCCATGTAATCCGTCACGAGTGCTAAGGAGGCGGTGCTTAAACTGGGGAGGAGTGTCTGGACTAAATTATCCGGCCGCAAGACTGCTGCGCCTTTCCTACACTACCAATCTCCCGATTCCTCGGGAACGTGACAGGTTGCGATTCATTCTGCCTTCTCCCTAAACTCTAGCTTCTCGCAAGGCGTACTTTTTTAACAACAACGGCTGGGAAGTTTGTATCTGGCCAATGGCTACTGCGCCGCCAGGGTGGCATGTCGGTACAAGCACGAGACGGGAATCGAAAAGTCGAGGTTCCTTTCCCATTCAGTATGATGGCAGCATCATCGTACAGCTACGAGACTCCCTGCCTTTCCCATTTGCGTCGCCCCCTTCACGAAGACGCCTCCGCTGGGTTCTCCTTTCCCGCCGCAGCTTCCGCCTGCGGGTGTCGACACAAATCCATCAGAACACAAGGCAGTGATAGGCACGCCGAAAAAGCGAGGTCATTCGAGAAAAGTAAAACGAGGTCATGTCGTTTCGACAGCTCGGCCTTCTGGAGAGCAGGACGAGACAGAGTTGTTCTGCTGGTTACGACCTAGAATATTTGCGAATAAAACGCCTGTAGAATGACCATCAAATCAATCACATCAAATTGATCAAAAATGAGCACAAGGGCAAAACCTTGAATAAATCATGTTAAGTTGTGAATGTGCAGGTTACAAAAATGACTTACTTCAATATTCTAACCGTTGCCAAGGCACGACTATTCACGTCCGCCTGCCCTGCTGCCTTGAAGCAAGTTTGTTCAAAGATGGACTCGAGATTGTTATGACTACTGGAAGTCATTGCAGGAAAGACTGCACTCGGAACAGAGGTCAAGGGACAGAATACTCGCTACCATAGGGGGCCTGAAAAAGGAAAAAATAGGAGCCAAAGCAACGCCATGAACGCGTCGCCCTCGTCAACGAAAGCCTCACAACGAAATCAAAACAAAGTCTGGGGGTGATCTAGTGGTCAATCCGCACGATCCCTAGCGGCAGGTTGTGGGTTCGATTCTCTCTCCGACGAATTTAGACGGAACGAACACACACACATATGAACCTTCCCCTCAACAAACAACGCAGGGTTAGAGAACAAATGCCGGAAAATAGCTGTAAAAATGACGATGAAAGCGATGGTGAAAGCAAGGAGGATGCTGGTGACAACACTCGAAAACGAACTCGAGTGCAACGTAGCAGCCTTGGTAGACACGTGCAGTTTTCCTCTGTTGCTACCGTTTCTGTATAAATCCGGAGACTAGATTAACCTCCCCCATGCTGCCCCCTCACGGGGTCCCAGTTTATGACGCGTACAAGTGTTTGGTGTCTTCAACCGCACTGAGACTGACGTCATTTCATTGGCCAGCCGATTAGCGCAGTCGATGCCAACAATTAAGAAATATACACAAAACCGAACATTCACGGGTTCAACACCACGCATGCATACCTCGGGCGCATCGGCCGGTGCAGCCACTGCCGCTTCCTTTCCCGCACCAGCCCCCTCGTCCTGAAGGGCAAATCGCGTCGAGACAACGAGGAGCACTACGCTCAGAACCGACCATGCGTTCAACAAGCGAGGGGGTCAAGATAATTCCGACGGCCGCGCGTGCAGGCAGCAGCAGCTTGGACAGGCCACCTAACAAGAGCACCACTGTGTTCGTGAGGTGGATTATCCCATCCTTACGAAGGCTACTGTGGTAGTATATGCATACTCATGTGTGGTTTTGAGTTATGCACGTGCGCAAGTACGCGGCCGTTCATCGGTCTTGGATCTTCGAGGTATCTCCGGTCATATCTTTGGCAACTTGCCACGTGTTCCGTGTTCCGAATGCATCTTTAATGCGGTGAATGTTGCTGGTGTACCTCGGTGCATGTGATGCAACCTGATGCCCGCTCTCTTCCATTGCTTGTGTCTACGAGGGCAACCAATTATTAAGACTTTACCATCACGTTTCGTCAACCGGGTCAGCCGTGCTCATCCAGGAGCACTGGGATTGGGGCCTAGAGTTTGAACGGTCGACGCCACAATCTAGCGTGGCAGACATACATGCCTCCGGAAGACTGTGGAAACTCTGACGGGGGCGAGGCCGGTCCGACTCATGAGGAGCGTAGGACGGCCATCGATGGGGCCGTCGGCGACGGAGAAACTGGAAGGCATCATGAACACCTTGTCTCGACTAGTGTCCGAGGCACCGCCCGCCGGGAGTACGACCGCGGCGGGCAGCAGAGGAGAGTCATTGGGAGGGGCGCACACCCTTCCAGGCGCTGGTTTTTCCACGAACCACGCGCCAAACACCGGACGGGGACTCGGGGGGAGCGAGAGGACTGCTAGGCCTGGCACCACGAGGAGAGCCCACGCCATCTGAGGGAGGCGTCTCGCGAGAAGGCGCCCACAGTGAGCAGACCGCACGGCATGCTTCCAACTCACAAACCCGGATCCCTCGCCTGAAGCAACTGAACTTTGATGGACACGAAAAAAACTGGACGATTTTCAGGAACGACGTTATGACGCAGGTGCAAACATATGGAATGAGTCGTGCCCTGAATGTCCAGTTTTTCCGAGAGTTCAAGTCCATAGTGACCAGACTAGAGTTGGCTTTCGACCAGCCCATCCCCAAAATGCATGTCCATGCGCGTTTCCTCGACGCGCTTTCCCCAGAGTTCGGAGTTCAAAAGCAACAGCTGCTCGACCAGAAAACACTCGATGATGAAGAGATTTTGAGAGTGTTGCGTACACGGGCTGGGAACCTGAAAATGGAGGAGACGAGGAGGAAGAGCGAGCAGCGAGCGCATCATCATGCATTGGTATACGTAGAGGGGAAGGGGGTGTAGTCATAGTCGTGCATGCCGTAGTCGTTAGACCATTGACCTCGCATCCCTACAAAGCCGGGACGGAGCACGCCGGGTTCTCACCGGACCAGGCTCTCA